GCAACTTATGTAAGCCTACTGTCTGATATTATACTGATGTTGATGTTTTCATGAGACAAATATGCTTCTTCAATGACAGAAAACATGCCCATGAAAGGAAAAGCAACCCTGTGTTTTTGGTTTTGAACAAGTTTGACGCATTTGAACACATTGTTTGGTGGACAAATGGTTTCTTTTAATAGCTACACCATCCCTGAGTATACCTGTGTAATCTAAATGAATGTGGCTCCAGAGATGGATTGTGGGTGGATAAAAAGAAGCATAAATGAAGAACCAGAACAAGATGATTAGAGAATAGGACTCTACTATATGTAATTGTGTCTGATAATATGATCTGGTAAGGCATTGCAAGAGACAGGCCGTCACATTGGGCATCTCACCGTCTCTGTTAACTCACAAAAAATGCTCCCCTGTGGACACGTACCATCTGACTTGCTTTGCATTAACTCGTGAAATCAATCTTGCGTAGCTCGAAGCATTTGAGTGTTTGCTAGCAGCTCAGCTCTATTAAAATTCACCCTGAATGGGGACATCAGTGTTTATAGATGAAGTTGAGATCTTTCAACCACAGGAAACAATTTTATTACAGTCCACCCAGTAGTTGTTGAGATATTTCAGTCTGGACCAAAGAGATGGACTGACCATGGTGCTTGCATGGGTAAAAAATGGCTACTACATTTTGCTTGTTTCTTGATTTAATTTCTCTACATTAAAATTATGTCTCTACAATTTCAGACCGATAGGAGTCAAGATGGTGAATCAATACAGGAATGTCTTAAATTCCCAGTGGTGCAGATGACAAACATGAAGTTTTACTTGAACTGACTGGTCTTGAAAAGTAATAATTTATGCAAAGGGAAGCAAAATCTTTGCTCCTCTTTGACCATTTTTATTAACAAGTGTCTGTATTCAAACAAACTGTCTTAACTGATTGACTGCAAAACAAGCCAACTGTCTCATATGTTCATTTTCTGCACATGTGATGGAACAGAGGAAGGCTTTCTTTCTCCCTCTCTCCAGTAGCTGATAGATATTCAGCTGCCTCTCTGGGTGGGCGTCTTGGTCTAGATCAACATTCTTGCCGGGGTTCAAGGATATCTCCCGTGTTTGTGTCCCACAGCTTTGTTGCATGGCCGCCATTGTTTCCACTGCACTCAGCCTCGACCTTCCAGCAGCAGGAACAAATCCAAGACTCTTCTGGACACGAGGGCACAAGCAGTGTGGTCAGCCCACTTTCTGCATTCCTGTACCCTACCTCTGTCAGGCCCGTGGGTGCTGCGCTGAGGCTCGGCCCTGGCAGGACAAACAGACAGAGCTCTGTGTACGAGGCCAGAGTGGACAAACATGTCTCCCTCTGAGTGTATCCCCATTTTACTCTCTTTATACAGGAAACTGGGCAGCCATGTTGGCTCCATACACTTCACTGCTATGGGCTATCATGTTTAGATGAGAGTTTTCACCCACTTTCATTTTCAGGATTCCTCAGCGGATGAGTTCAAATAAAGGCCACGAGTTTCTCCACTTTTACAAGGATTTTGATTTTCTCTGAATCACTGCTGAATGAGCTCGTATTTGACCCACATTAAAAAAGATAAATAACTCGTACTTGTGCTGGTATTATAGAGAGAACAGTTCAACAAACTAAAAATACATGAACAACATTATTGAGGCTAAATGTGAGCAATTTCCCACTTAAGTCTATTAAATTCAATTAATGTGTAACTTAGATTTCTCCCTGAAATTCTGCAAAGCATGTCGTAAATGATCACATTTATAGATTTACTCCAAATGCATACTTTTATATAGTTTTAACTGTTTTTTTTAAATTAATCTTTTTTGTCAAACTTTGCTTGAAATGAACATTTGTGTTGTTTCCAGGCTGACAAAATGCCTAAAATGACAAGATGTGGATATAACATTTAGTTTTTTAGACAAGAACGTTTCATGTCCTTTTTTGGGTGCCAAATAATCTAAAATTAAAATATGAAGCTCAGCAAGGACTCGGCCCGGGTACATGGGGCGCCATCTCTACCCGGTTTACACAAACTTCCCGCAGTTATTGTGTTCACTATTTGGGTTATACAGTTTATCAGTTGTTCTGTGCTGTTATTATTAATCGAACATAATATGAAATATCCATAAAATATATATATAATATATAAGTCACTTGGAAAAGGGGTCTCTAAAGGGAAAAGGTTGGGACTCATCTATAGATTCTAATTAGATTCATAGGTTCCTGTAACTTAGATTGACAGTAAAGTAGAAGGTTAGTTTTTAGTTTTTACCTTGGTGACAAACAGATTCTCTGATAAACAGCCTTGTTTATCAGAGAATAACAAAAAACACTCAGTGGGTGATGTAGATATGAACATTATGTTTTTTGGTGAGATTTTTGCGATTATAGCCTTCTGGGATTTTCATTTCCCCTCTGTTGTCGCTAAATAATGTAAGAAAATAATATGAAAACAGTCACCTCAGGCATAATAAAGTGATGCAGTAAGTAATAAGAAAAGCAAATTGAAATTTTGAGCCTACACTGATGTGTTATGTAACATGGATATCTTCAGCTTATTGGTTGTTGTGGTGGTTTTACCGCACAAGGACGAGGGATTAATTTGAAGGGAGACAAAAGGGTCCTGATATATCTGACTCCAGTGACTGTGCAGACATCAGCAGGGGGACTGGAAAAGAGAGAAACATGATTAGACCCCACAAACATTATCCTGTAATGAAGCTTAGCAATACCTCAGCATGGCAGTGGAGAAACTTCCCTTAGTTCACAGCCATTTTGTGTCTTTAACATGAAACTTTCTATTTTTTTTCTCATTAACACATTGTCTGTGAGAAGTGGAAAGCGGATGTGTCTCAGATCATGCGGCTGTTCACATCTGAGGAAACATGGGCTCGGTCACCAGAATAATCTCTCCTGTGTCTCTTTCACTCTCATCTTGTTGGATTTCTTTGTAAGAAAAAGATTTCGATCTGTGGGACTGCTCACAGTCTTCTCATACCCTGTTTTATATAGAAATGGTGCCACGTGAATTAATTTAAATTAGCATTTTGATAGTTATTTTAGTCCAATGTAGCTCAATCTCAATTTTTTCCACTTGAATATGAGTCAGAACTTTAAATAAGTTTATATTGGTTTGTCAATATTTAAATTTCCAGAATGAAATCTTATTTCTGACACACTGCACCTCTGGGAGATTGATCTTTGATTTGTCAAATGTTCTGTGACATTAAAACAGATTTTTCTGTTGACACATTCCTTCAGTTAACAGTTTTTTCCCTGACTTACTTTCTGACTTGAAATAAAACTGCTGTAACAAAAAGGCATCTGTTCTAAAAATATTAATATTCTGATGCTGCATGGGTGTTTTCTAACACAACTTATCCTGCAACAGATCCGGCTTTGTTCACCGGCTGCTGCAGCCACTGCGAGTGAAACTACACATGCAGTGGTAGTGCTGTAATGCCGTACAATGGCAGAATAAATGAAAAGTTACACAAACATTTGGAAGTGTTTGAAGTCAAGTATCACACATGAAGTTTACTCAGTTGTCATGAAACTGTAGACGTTTAAACTTTGCATTTTTCTTACTTTTAGCACTTTTTGTCCATGTTAGCTTTAATGTTAGCATGACAGGAGCTTAGATAGATAGATGACAGCTGAAGATAGACAGGAAAAGGGGGAAAGAGAGATAAGGGAGGACACGCAGCAAAGGGCCACAGGTTGGACTCAAACCCACAGCTGCCGCAGCAGGGACACAGCCTCTGCACATGAGGCGCCAGCCAGGTGAGCTGTCATGACACCAAAAACGAAATAAATCATTGCTGATTTTTCACATTAAATTGGTTTTGGATTAGTACATTATTTTGTACGGAAGCCAAGAAAGATTTCTTGAGATAACAACATAATTTATCATGAGTTTTTATGTAGTTTCATTTGTTTTGCACAGTAATACAAAATAAAATAGATTCATATAAAAAACAGTAATTACAGTGCAGTCTGGTCCATTTGATCAGACCTGATTTCAGCCTTCAAGATAACTGTCATGACTGTCGGGGAGGATTTATAACTCAACTGAACAGAATTGTTACCAGAATGAACATCTGAAAGCTAATTTCATGGCAATGTGATGCAGTAGTGAAGATTTAAGATCTCTGCAATGTTCAGATGCTTTTAATGCACTTTTTCCTGGGTTTTGGGTTCACGTTGTGTCATTTCTCCATTCATTTTTTATAATACGCCACATATGCATGTTGGCATGGCACTCCTGATATCTGACAAACATTATAAGTCGTGATAACAGGTTGATTATTTTGTCATCTTGAGAATATAAAAAATGAATTGCAAAAATGGCCTTTCTCAGCTTCCGTAACGTTGGCCAGCATCGCCATGTTTATTTCATGTCCAAAACACAACTTTTGAATCTCCATTATTCATAAACATCCAGTAATAGAAGGGACTGTATAGATCTCATTGTTTTTTAATTTGAAAATACAAAAATGGAGAAAAATCCAAACATGCAAAGTCACCACAAGTTTATCGTATTACTCTGCAGACACAGTTACTTCTTGGCTCGTGTTCACAGGTTTTCACACAACAAGCATTTCCTTTCTTCTGGGCCTCTACGTATGTTAATCTGGGTGACTGTACATCTAATTTAAAGACAATCCATTAAGAAAATATATGAGACCCATTCAACAATGGCCTCACAGTGCTGCGGGCTGCTTTGCATCAGGGTGTGAGTGCAGACTCAGAGATAACCCTTGTTGTCCCTGCGGCCGGGGTGAAGCAGATGGGTAGAGGAACAATGGTCAGGCCCATGCGGAGGGCGGCAGTGACTGACACAGCCACTGAAGCTCCAAAGAATGCCTGGAACCGAGCCAGAGCCATGGACCTCACTGCCACTCCAGCCACACCGCAACCACCACCACCCAACCCCACCTGACCCCCCTCATGTCCCATGGTGCTCTGGGACTGAGGGGACAACACCTTCAAAGACGGCCCCTGCACGTCAGAAGAAGTGCAAACCAACAGAAGAAGCAGCAGAGCCGAGCGTTGGCACTGTGGACTGTCTTGGAAGAGGACTACTGAGTAGATAAAGAAAGGTCAACCCCACCCAGCCTCAGCAAATACTAGCATGGCTACAGCGAGCACCTCAGGGCAGAGCACCTTCGGGCTTGGAAGGAAAAAGAAGACTCCTGGTCTCATGGATCAGATTAGCAAGTTCTTTGGAGGAGACAAAAAGAAACGGAGCAAGGTGAGCGCTGATGCATTTAATGCGGATAGTTCAGGGATTTTGCAGCTAAAACTTTAATTTGATGTTAGAAAACTCTAATATTTGATCATTTTTCCTCACTATGCTGTTCTATTGTTCTTGTTTTTAGTGCTTTGTTGAATTTGGAAACATTAGTTAGCAATTCCAGTCAGTGTTGCTTAAACCAAAACTCAAAAAAAACAGTTCCTCCATAATTACCTGTTGATTAGTTGTTCATCGTTTTCTTGCTGTCCTTTGAAAACTATAAATTTCCAAAATTTTCAGGGTTGTGACAATGTACTTTTAGGTCTATCCACTGGGTTTGTAAAAGTTACTATAAAGTTTAAAATGTAGGCATTTCCTCAACCCATTAAGGAACATAAAAAAAATTAAAAAACAAATTCAGTTACAGTATGCAAGAGCAGTTACTAATTTTAAAGAGAGAGAAAAGTACATTTCAAATGTTTTATCCTCCTTTAAAGGAGCATAGAGCACTGATTGCTCATTTCACCAATGTGACATGCTTGAATTGAGATTTAAATCAGTAGTTCTCTTATTTTGGGCCTGTTTTAAATTAATATTCAGGCAAAAATCCCATCTGGCCTGCATTACATATATTTTGCGAGAAGCAGAATGCTATATGATTTTAATGAAAAAAAGAATTCATACTCTTTTTTTACTTATTATTTTGAGTGTTGACTGGGACCAACATGTTGGTTGAGTGTTGTTTAGATACTGAATTTTAAGGGGACACTTTAGTGTACTTGAACATGTTATACAAAATAAAACCAAGAAAAGTAAAGCTTAACTAAAAAGAATGTTGAAACTCTATCCAATTTTAAGTCAAACTAGCTAAAGTTGTAAGCTTATTATTGATCAAGTAGCTTTAGTAATGTTAAGTTACAGATTTAATTTTATGATTTTTACTTGTACTGTGAGAACAAAATTTAAAAAAGTAGTTCAATCAGGAATGTTTCTGTAACTTATAAGAAGTTAGTGTCACTTAAAACTACTAGTAAAAGCTGCTAAACCAAGAATCTTTTTTACTTAAAAGAGTTTGTTTTACTTAAAATTTTCAATGTATGTATGTAACAGTTGTAAAATTACTATAATATCACATTACAGTTAACCCGAAAACATATTTATTAAAGCATTAACACTTTTATAAACTGCAGTTATTCTTCAGTTCAGAACTTCATCAAAAACTCTTTTATCTGAGTTTTAACTTCTTTCAGTAGATTGTGTCAGTATGTGACCTCTGCCGTTGTTTTGACTCACAACTTTGTGATGAACTTATATAGTACATTAAGTTAAAAGTGTACACCCACTGAATGTTGTATAGGAAAACATAAGCCTTAGATACATTTACAGTGGATGCACTAAGCCTCCACAGTGCAGGTAAATGTAGGATGTGAGCTGCAGATTGAAAACCTCAGATAAAACCTCTTTTCAAGTTCCAGATTCAATGTTGTGTGATGGGAGGGGCCTTCAGGAGTCAGAGCTGCTCTCATACAGAAACCCTTTCATCTTAACATCCAAGTCTCTTTTTCTGAGTAGGTGCAACACCGGATCTCAGATTTTTGTGTCTTTACAATTTTTTAGATAGATGAAGAAAAGTTTGTTCTTAGATCTTTTCCCTCATATGTTACAGGCTTTCTATCCCTTCTGTGGAATCTATATCAACTGTATATTTTTTATTGTTAGTGTATTTTTTTCTACATTTTTTGAGAGACTGTAGGATGAATCAGCTGTCAGCAGTGCAGGCAGAGGTCAGATGTGTGAGGTTGTTCTAAATATGCTCACAAAAAAGGTAGAGACCAGCTTCATCTGATAAATCTCTTGGTTTCATACTGCAGTTTCCTTTTAGCCTTTTGGGTGACTTTAATTGACTCAATTTGCAGATTTTACATCATAGAACATGGCTTTAGTCCTTTGTTGTACTTCTTGTCTACTTAATTTGGATTCTCTCTCGCATTGTGAGACTCGACAGCCAGTAGGGCCTTGAAGCTATTATAATTATTGTAATTATAATATTAGGAGGTATGGTGCAGCTGAGACCAACTTTCAGGAAATAACTGACGTCTATTCAAGCTCATGCCAAGCTAATCCGTCATGAATATATTTCATAAAAAGATTTTTTCAATGCTGCTGTGTTACATACTGAAAATCTGATGCCATTTGATCTGATTCCAATTTGATTGATCTTGTGGTAATTTAAACACATTCACTTCTGTTGATCCTCACAGGGGTCGTTCCGGGGTCACCTGGCCTCCTCGCCCCAGCAATCCTCCACTCGCCGCCGGACCAATGAAAATGCTGTGGTGCATTTCTTCAGGAGCTTTGTAAGTTTTTTTAAATTAAATGGTGTTATACTGTGTACATCATGTGTTTCACATACACTTAACCACGTACATGGAGTCACTTTTTGTTGCGCCATTGCTAAGAGTTTTATTCAAATGTATTCCAACGGATTTTGAGCTCAACAGAGTTTGATGTATTACTCCGAGACGGCCATGAGTTGCATAAATCACAACACAGAACAAACCAATTTCCTTCAATTCATACTGTGTGCGAGTTGAACTGTCAGTGTTTTCTTTTGATTTACTTTGGATCCAACTCCTGGCATCAATATCGCGGCAGCATTTCAAAAACAGCACGCTAAACTGTTTCCTTCAGCTCCCTCACTGATTACAAAGCTGCGTGACTCCTTCATTTACATACTTAAAAAATCAGCAGCTCAATCATTTGTTTATTTCAGAACAGAGTTTGTTGTACTACTTTCCTGCCCTGTGCAATCAGTCACTCTGTTGTTGTTGTTTGTTGCTTGGTGTTTCTCAGGTTTCCTCTCCTCGTCCTAAATCCAGGGTGAGTGTTATTTCTCCACAATATCAGTTCTGTAGATCATTTCAGAGGAGCTGCACGTTGAAGCTGCAGAGGTGCACTGATGAAATTAAATTTATTGTTCATTTAAAGTGTTTTTCAAAGGACTTCTAAACGCTGTTCACATGATCTCCTTATCTATACTAATGGTCCTACATTAAATTTCTCTGTGTCATGTTATGTTGGGGATTTTATAACTTTGGCACCATCCAGTGGTAATATCACAGACAGCAACGCATGCCGCTAGCCCCTCTTCCTGTGGATCTTGAATTTCCCTTGGGACCCAGAGAGTCTCATATTTTCTTGCAAATAAAATGTCAATATATGACACCAAATAATTTGAAAGATGTTAATGTCAAATAACAAGACTAATATGTTCACAATGACAATCCTAACACGCTGTTTAGCTGGTTTAATGCACGTTCATGATAGTTTTTTAAGTTAGCATGCTAACATTTCCTAATAAGCACTTAAAGCTAGTTCACCTAGTTAGCACTAAACATAGTTTTTAGCAAAGGTTTAGCTATTTAGCTGTTTAACACTAACACTACCAGTACATCTGAGACTGATTGTCATTAATTTAGCCGGTATAATGGATGTTCATGATAGTTTTTGAGTTAGCATGCTAACATTTGCTAATAAGTGCTAAACACTGTTTTTTTTAGCTAATGTTTAGTTATTTAGCACTAAACACTAGTACATCTGAGAATGTCATTAGTTAAGCAGGTATTTCATTGTCATAAACCAAAATAGGCCTATTGGACAAACTGAAATTGACCTGTTGATGGCACTAGAGTCGAATCCAGGGGTCACCAAACCTATTAAAATACATCCTGGGGGACCATAAATGTACCAACGTTAATGGTAATGCAACTCGTAGATGTTGTAAAATTTCACTAGATAATCAAACACTTTGACCTGTTTGGCACTAGATAAAAAGTCAGTAGGCGTCCTCCTCTGGGGAGCGTGAATGGCTCCACCAAATTTCATTGCAATCCATCCAAAAGTTGGCCAATACTGCTAGCATGGCTAAAATGTCAACACATAGTGGCCTTTAGTTTCTAATTAATAATTCTACTATATATTGAGGTCAATGCAGGTTAAATAATCTGTGGGTCGGGACCCCTGCAATGGTTCACATAATAAATATTAGGGGTCACAAGAGGACAACTGGGAGAAGATAAAAACAAAAAAAACATTGTTCTGCTCAAACATAATTTGGAGAGTTTTACCTTTCCTGTGCACCAAAAAGAGGGCACGTTACTCTTTTGTGCAACATTTGTGCTTCATTTTAAGCAACACCAGAAAGAGAATTGGCTGGATGAAGTATTTATCTGTATTGGTAATTGTTTTAAAAAATCACAGAAATAGTTAAATTAGATTAAAAAGTTTTAATTAGCTCAAAATTACCCACCTTTAATTCTAATTTACGACCACATCACAGTTAATCTTGCCATCTGACATCTCTAACTGGATGGTTGTCAGATGTGTTAAGGCGGATGCAGGTGTCACTGCACTCTCATCTCATCATGTCACTGTCTGTTTCTTTTTCATGTCCAGTGGAGAGACGTCTTGGGCTTGGTACGTCACACAATCTTTCCTCCTCGAACCAAACAAAAGCCCCACTGCTGCCTGCGCCGCTCTCTGTCTCTCTGTGTGTGTGCAATGATCCCATTTCTGTCTGCAGAGAGCTCCTCCGCAATGTGTCCTTTGTCTGCAGCGCACCTGTTACCTAACCTACACGCTCGTCTCTCTCTCACTGTGTGTTTCACTGCTTTGCTCCCTGAAGAGAAATATCTTTTATACCTCAGCGTGCAGAATCAAGACATATTCAAAAGCCGAGAGCTGATTCACCAGCATGTACATACAGTAGCTGAAAGGCAAAGCTCCCAGCAGCTCACTCTTAATGGGTGCCACAGAAAATCACTTTCATTCACATCAGTCGGAGAGATGGATTTATTCATCTTTGACACCAGCGAGTATTGGCTTATTGGTAAATTTATTGTCTTTGCTTCAATCCAGAGCGACTCGCTGCTTCTGGATGACTTTGAAACAGCTCAACTATTTATGAACCACAACCGGTAAACATTTTCTCTTAGGACCTCTTGGCCTGCATCACCCTCCTCTTCCTCCTGTTCCTCTTATTATTCTCACCTCTTGTTCTTTGTAACACCTTCATCCCCTCTGTGGCAGAGATGACTCACTGATCCATCTGTTCAGGCCTTTCACCTTCTTTGTGTCTTCACATCTGTCTGTCATTTGACGGTGATTATCCGAGTTTGTGTGTCAGTTCACCGCGGACTTTACCTTGTCCTTGTCATCCATCTTCTTTCCCCTGAAGGTTGCTGTTATCTGAATCTGGTCCTGTCACGTGTTCGTGTCTTCCTCCACATCTCGGTCATGTTATTCTCTCACAATAACAGACCACAGAACAGAAACAACTGCTTCTTCCACTCCACACTGCTGCTGTTGCAGAGAAACCACATACCTGCAGTTCTGTTGTTTTTCCCACAGCTTACATGCAGTAAGACTGAAATTAATGTTAATGGTATTGAGACAATTTTACGACCCCGTAGACTTTAATAACTTGTATATAATTTTCTAAAAGTTATATGATTACAAAAACCTCACATCAGTCCACCTTGATTGTCCACAAGGAAAATTCAACTTTTGGCAAAGAGCATCACATACTCAATGAAAACATGGATCCAAACACCAAAAGGTCGGTCCCAATGCAATTTAAAAGGATGGATGGTAAACAAAGAGATATATGTGCAAAATGTCCAAAAAATGCAAAAAGTTAGGGTACTAATAAGGAAGTATGCAGTCTTGTCTTTATTTCTAAAGGACATATTATTTGTGGATATGTGTTTTTTGTCCAACAACAGCAATAATTGTGCCCCTATAACATTTTTAAGCAATTGTTTTACGTCTGGCATTTTGTTAAAGTAGCAAGACATCTCTTATGCTCTGAGGTAAAATGTGTCTCATCTTGTAAAGAGAAGAGGCCATCAATGTAAAATGAATTAAACGTCTGGTTAAAAGGTTATACCATGACAAAGCAGCAAAGCAGGCCCTGGTTTCAGGTCTCCACCTGTGCTTATAGAGCATCTTTTTCTAGGCCTCGTCGCCGCGTGCCGAGAGCACAAAGTCACCGGTCAGAAGACGCAGAGACCAAAGCACACTGTCCAGAATCTTCAACCTGGTGAGCTTACCGCACGTTTGCCTCCTTCTACTCACAATGACCTCTTTTCTATCTGTACAACTGGGCTTCATGAACACTGTTTCCTGTCTGTGTTTGCCCAAAATGCAACAGTGATGCTCTCATCAGAGATCAGTGAGTAATAAATAAACACATTAATAACGGTTCACCATTTCAGTTGTGATGCTTTTCATTCATCGCCATTCAACACGCTTTCACAGCAGCCCGTCATCATAATAAACTAATGGGCTTAAGAGCAACATTTCCATTTTTACAGTGACACTACATGTAAACCCAAATATAAAATGTCTCATACACGTATTCATTGATTCATTTTCTGCAAATGCCATCTACCTCGACTCTTTTGTGGCCTTATTTTCAGTGTGGAGGACCTCCTCCCATCCCGATAAATGTGAAGCACTTGACAATCAAATATTTCATGAACTTTCAGTACAGTTTTAACAGAAAACCACCCCACATTGCTCTTAGAGGCCATCTCTGGACAGATAGACATTTCTTCTCATCCTCTTTCTCCTCTGCAGGGAGACACCAAGTCCCGTCCACCCCCTAAACGCTGGAGCACCATCTTCTAAGCTCTCCGCCGAGGACCAAACAACAGATCCAACGCCTACGGGACAAGACGAAGGAGGAGGAACAGATCTGCAAGCGGCGGACTCACAACCTCAAGAAATGTTAACCCACTAACACAAGCCTCCTTTATGTTTAGACCGCGACTCATTTCACATTGACGCAGTATGAAATCCACTCTCCAGGGGATGTAGGCAGTCACCGTGCTAGTTTTCTTTTTAATCCTACTCCCAAGCACATCCTGTCTCAGTCATTATTTAGGTGTTTATAAGAGGTTTGCTTTTAGTAGAATGTCTCACTGTAAAAATCACCCATTCGAGTATCTTGGTCTGATGGTGCTAGTGTCTGCTGTCTGCTGTCTGAGGTTCGTTCATGGCAGATGTTTGTTTTTCTATTTGTCTCCCGTCATCTGCATTTTGTACATGAGCACCGCTTTATGTATCTCGCTGCTTGATGCTTGAACTTACACGCCAAACAAAGCATTGTTTTTGTTTCATATGTGAAGTATAGACGGAGAGTGGTCCTGTGTGTGGCTGTTGTGCTCGAGTGAAATGCATGTTGCAAAGAAACACAACTGGAAACCTACAGTATATGAGTAGTGTGGACTCTAATATTGTTTTAATGTAACAGTTTTGCGTCATTATGCTTCTGTGTAAGTAATAAACATGTACAGTATGATGTCATTCAAGTCTATCAAAAAATAAAACGCCCTTTTCCATTGCACTGTTGCAGCTAAATAATACAACTAAACTGGTCTGCTCTCTTTTCTATGTTATATCTACCTTATTTATTGTGAGTTTCTGTTTGCATCTTAAATTAAGTTTGAGGTTTTAATGTTATTCGTGAATTTCAGAGATGACAGACAAATGTTCGTTTTATCTGATGGTCAGATAGTAAGTGGTTCAAAGGTTTACGGCAGAAGCACCGAGATGGTATGAGGAAGGACCGTATGTTGATTTCAAATGTTCTGACGCATAATTTGTCGATTTTCTTTCGCTCGTGATAAATGACATTGCCTCTCTTATTTGTACATGCTCTGTTTGTATGTTCCCTTTAACAGAACAGTCAAAAAGAACTGTAAAGGTGTTTTTGTTTCTGGGGTTGCTGACATGTGGTGGTGCTACAGGAATTAGAGCTGATACTTAGAAAACTGAGTGTTTTGTTTCCTCTTAATGTAAAACTCTAACTGGAAATAAACATGTTATGTCCTCTCTGTTATTAAATGTTTTAAAATCTGACAATTTTGTTGTCAATGTGTCATGTTTTAGAGCTTTTTGTATCCAAAACATAATGATCTACATTTACAGGCCTACATTTAAAATGAAAAATACTTATTCACAATAATAATTCGATAATACTTTCTACTTGTCTGTATAGTGAATATGTAGTTGGAGCCATGAGACAGTTAGCTTAGCATAGAGGGAAACAGCTAGTCTGTGAACAAACCGCCTCTTTGCACCTCTAAAGCTCAGTAATTAACAAGCCATATCTCATTTGTTTAGTGTAAAAACAATTTATGTGCCAAACTAGAGCCAGGTTTGCTGTTTCCTCTTGCTCTCTGTCTTCATGCTAAGCTACACTAACTAACTAGTGGCTCCAGCCACATATTTACCACACAGACTTGAAGCGTATCATGCTTCTCGTCTGAGCTTCTTTTCTTTTTTCTGATTCTGTTAATGATGACAATACTGGACATTGCGACATCATGTCCTAACCAGCTTCAAGGTTTACCGAGCTCTGAATAACTGAGGAGGGAAGACACAAAGTATGTACTGCATTAGCCTTTAACTCAACCACTGAGAAGACTCCCACACACTCTCCAAATATCCCCTAGAGTTCAATCATCTATCTCAGACAATAATCCTTATATCAACTACATCAACTGTACATTTTGTCCCACATTTAATTGAACACTTAATAAGGATAAAACACAGAAATAGAAAACAGTGTTTCTCATCATTAGAAGTAACGCTGAGACAGAACTTTTGGACAACCGCAACAAAAACCACAATTAGCAAAGAGTTCTGTCTCTCCTGCAATGCAATGTTCTTGCAATAATCAGCATCACACAAACAGGAGGTGAAAGGAAATGTTTCCTTTGCTTGACTCATTGTCACATTCACATAAAGGGCTAAGCCTGTTGCTATGGTTTTGTCTTAACAATGATTCAGGCCATACAGATGTCTGGTATGATAAATTATACCTACAAATTAAAACCTCAAAAAGAATTCTGAGATACAACCTTTAACGCTTAACCCAAAAAACATCCTTTTAATGTGCTTTAACCGTTTGTTCAACCCCTATCAACCTTACTTTGATAGAAAAAAGAAGTTAATATGAACATGCTGTCGTGTATTTTCCTATACTGTGTATTATATATATATAGGGCCGTATATAAAACCTTTGTTCCTTAATGCACCTCTTTTTAGAGTTTCTCTTTCACTATCACAGCCTCATGTTTTTTTTTCACTGAAAAGGGAAATTTCTATAGGCTGTCCCCTGAATACACCCGAATACATTAACTGACAGCTCCATTCATTAGCTCGCCATCTCTCAGGGTCTTTCACAATTGATGGAGGAGGAACACAGGGAAGACTTTTTGCACAATTTAATCACAATAAAGGGGTGCTGCAGTGTTGAGCAACAGAGACCTCTGGTGCTCCACCAATGTGCTGCAAAGGAACTGTTTTAAAACCCAAACCAACAGTATTCTACAATGAGATTAGTGTCCTAGAATGATCCACGGCAACAAAGCCTCAGTGTTCTAGAACTGACTCCACGGCAACAAGCCTCCAGTGTTCGTAGAATGACCCACGGCCAACAAGCCTCCAGTGTTCTAGAATGACCCAGCGGCAACAAGCCTCAGTGTTCTAGAATAAATCCCAACATTCTACAATCAGAAAACTCAAAGCGGTTTTTATTACCATATATACCAAGATTTATTTCTTTTACATAGTCTGAAGAGACATCAATATGGCACAGAAAAAAAAAATGTTGCATTTATTTTCTAATGCAGATCAATGGCAAATAATTTATGTGCAATATTAACTTCAGTGGGGCTCGAGAAGTACATTCACAACACTGCCTTTTACAAATGTACAGTTCACAGCATCACTATACAAGAACTGAGCAAATGGCACTGCACAAAAAAAATTGTTCCTTTTTCTTTTCATAATACCTATAACAGGAAAATAATGCACATAAAAAGGATGAAACAAAAGCGGCTGCTCATAGAAGCCTTCAATTATTTGACTCCATAGACTTTTAAAGTCATCATGTAATTCATTTTTTATTCTTGTATGTATTTATTTACATACAGTTTAAGTGCTGTAAACCTGTTTCACATTTAATTTCCGCTAAAGCTCTCACTCGCCTCCTCTTTGAAAACGTGATTACCGGTGTCCAAACTTTGTGACTGAGTTCTTAGCTGATCCACAATCCCAGACACGCCGCCCAACAGGCCACGCATCCCGTCCTCCATCTCCCCGTGAAAATCCACCTCCTCCACTTTCACCTGACCTCCCGTCGCAAGAAAAGCCTCGCCGTCTTCAAATCCATAACTGTAGCTGTCATCCACGTCCGCCGCCGGTGTGCTTGCGTTGTTGCTGTTAGCCGAGGAGGTGGAGGCAAGTCTCTCACACCGAGCCTGATGCCTGAGGAAGCTGTCTCTCCAAATGACTTTCTTCCCACACAGGCCGCACTCATAAGGCCGCAGCCCTCCGTGAGTCTTAAGGTGCTTGGTTAGGTGGTGCTTCATCTTGAAGGACTTTGTGCAAACGGGACAGCCGAAGGGCCTTAGATTGAGGTGCTGCATCTTCACGTGGCGGTCGCGCATGCTCTTCAGGGTGTAGGCTTTGCCGCAGTGGCAGAAGTGGACTTTGCCCGTGTAGGGGGCGCCAGCGAGGGACACTGAGGATGACGAAGATGGGGTCGGGGGTGAAGAGGGCGGCGGAAAGGCAGCGGAGGATGGAGACAAATGGTGATTTGAGGTGGGGGTCAGTGAGCCACCCTGTCCCACGCTGGTGGAGGGCCAGTTCACCTCCGAGCCCGCCATGGTGAAATCGGGAGATACAGGCACTAAAGGCCTCTGGGAAACCTGTCCTGTGCCCTCTTCAATCTCATCGTATGTGTCTCTGCTAAAGGTCCCTTCTGTGAAACATTCAAAGTCCACATCCTCCTCCTCATCTTCGTCCTCGTCTTTACTGCAGCTGCCAGCCTCTCCTTCCTGCGGCCTCTGCTCCTGCTGAGACCAGGGACCCGTCTGCCACTGCAGCCGGGCTGAAACTGGACAGGACGGTCCTGGAACGCCATCACTGGTTTGGCAAGCATGAACACTGGGCAGGCCTGAGGAGGGATCACTCCCCACCACGTTTCTCTGCACTTTGTCCTTCATCTCCTCCACACTCACCTTCCCCGTGGCTTGTCCGGCACCTACACTCTCATTTGAAACTGGGTGGAAGTCTGTTGGAGAAATGAAAAAACAAAATCACATGCAGGTAGCTACAGTCGTACAGCTACAGCCTTTTTGTTCTCAGTTTCCTCCGGCAATAAGACACTCATTTAAACAAACTGTGTAATTCAACTTACTTCAAACTTTTAAGTTAACGTAGTTTTTAACTGTTTCTTGTCGTTCTGTCAGAGACATATACATATATCTATCGTATACATATCTGTAGTAAAAGGGGGCTTTTGTGTCTTACCACAGTGTCCCATTTGTGCAAAGGCTTCCTTCTTCTCCTCCGCCTCTTCTCCCACTCCCTCATCAGCCTCAATCTCTCTTTTCTCATTCTTCCTCTTCTCTCGTGTCTCATCACTGTCCCCGCTCTCTCTATTCTTATCAAGCAGTCTATCAGCGCTCGGCGGCGCTCCCCGCTGTTGAAACCTGCCTTTCTGCTTCAATGCTTCACCACCGGGGAACCCCCCGTGGTGCCGGGTATTGTGTCCGGGTCCATCATGAGCAAAGTGGCTAGTTTTGGCATGGTTCGATACCCATGCCTCCTCACAGCTGGTGTAATCACCATCCGCATAGCCAGGGAGGGTGTCCAGTTGAGAGTCTGCTAAGTGCTGGGCTGATGAGGGCCGCGGGCGCCCCCATCTCGGGAACTGCTGCGGGCGTCTCCACGTGGCTAACGGAGGCAAGGCATCAGGCTTTCTCTCCTTCCGTCGTCCCTCCCTCTCCAGATACAGGCAGTCTGTGCTGCTTGGGGACTGCTGGCGAGATGCAGTGCCCGGGTGAGCTACAGCCGCCTCTCCAGGGGTCACTTCTGCCGAGGGCCGGGGCCTCTTCAGGATCTCGGTGCATTTGTCCACGATGTGCCACATCTGGAGGAAACTGGCCACAGTGACGTAGTTAACGATGTCATCGTGCACGATGCTGAGCTGGCCTGTGTAGGCAGAGCTCAGGACGCTCTCAAAGGCCACCGGGTCCATAACTGACGGCAGGGAGACGGTTGTCACATTCTTCAGTAACACCTGTTGAGGGAAGTCACCACCAAACATTAATAACTCATTACATCACACAGATGTTTATCGTACACTGATGTACCCCGGCCCACCTGGTCATGAAAGTAAGGCGAGGACGCGGCGAGCACGCAGCGGTGGGCCCTGAACACCTGACCTTGCACCTGGATAGAGAGGTCACACAGCCGGCCCTCTTCCCGCTGCCGGTTCAGATTGTCCAAAACTGCAGCGCGGGCACCGGGGAAACACACCTGCACAGTCAAACCAGCTGGAGCCGCAGAAGCACTGCAGGTCGGATCCATGGTCACAACAAAACTGTAGAGGAGGTTAAAACAAAGTGTTATATTTTGTGTCTCAGTATTCTTAACGCTTGGTCTTGTATCCAGATCACACATGAAGTATGAATACTTATCTACACTAGGCATCTGTTACTTCCGTGTGCAGATGTGATACTTCCTTTCAAAGCATTTCCTTGCATGGTGTAAAAAACATTTATTTAATCTTCCGTATTCTTTTTCTGTTGGGCAGATTATTCATATTTAAGGGCACTGTCGTTTGTATTAAAGACACTTCAAAGCACAGTATGTGTTAGCGATGCTGGGCTGTGCATTTATATTGACATTTACAATACAAGTGAGACTACAAGTAACAAAAGGTTAAAGGTTAATGGAGGCAGAGCCAAGACCAAACTAAACAAAAGAGAACATATCAACAGTAAGTGACATTTAAATAAGAATAAACTGAATCATGCACTTGTTTCTTACAATAAACATTCTCAGTGAGGAGAAATATATTCTAAATTCATTAACAGAAGAGGATTAAAGTTTCCCCCGTTTACATACATGAATACATTTTCTCATTCAGAGCTGAAATCATTTCGAGAACTGATAACCAGAGAAGCTTGTTTTCAGCCTGGAAAAAGAGACTTACTGCTTCTGTTGGTCTTGTATGATAATAAATTTAATCTTCTGGGGGTTTGAACCAAACCAAAGCAACCTGAAGTCAAAGTATATTGGCAGCAAGACTCTCTACGTAAAAAGGACATGAGAAAAAGTATTATTTTCATTTTTGATTAATGTTTAGAGGTTTAAATCATCAGTCAGTTAAACGGTAGGTTTCCTGATTAACTATCAAAGAAGAGAAACGAAAGCAGCAAATCCTCAAACTACGAAGCTGGGACAATGTTCTGTTTGCTTGAAATCAATTCACTGATTAACTACCACCTAATCAGTGGCTGCAGGGCATACACAGGTAAACAGAGTAAAGTCAGCATATATTGATATATTGCTCATCATTCAGTAAGCTGCTGCAAGCTGAATTTGTTTTTCTTGGATGGCTAAAGCATTATTATTATTATTACTTCACTCATAATGTGTAATTATGTAGTTATTGTGTAGTAAATAAATAACCTTACTCCTTTAAGTTAAGTGACAATGTGTAAATACTACTGGCAGTTATAAAAGGTTAAATGTATAATGTTGTGTAGAGATGCACTGGCCTTTAAATCTTATTCTCCAGATTTAAGAAAACACGTCACATCATCATGATTTTAATATTTTTTATCGATCGTGCTAATTACAGCTTTTTAAAGTCACTATTTATAACACTTTAAATAAAAATAAAAGCCCATACATTAAAAGTAAACCCAGTTCTCTGCGCCACTGATCGTTAACAACTCCAGTCTCAATCACATGCCAATCACTTTTCTGTCGATTGATCGATTCACGGTGTCAAACTGCGGACAGAGACATTAAATGATGAATGTTTTGA